GACCGCTCAAATATGCAAATTCACCGTGAATATTAACCGAGTTGTGTGACCTCATGTAACGATTCCACTCGACCTCCGGCATATCTGTCAACATAATACTTTGTTTTATCATCTAAACTTAATCTCCTGTCTCTATTGAAGCTGGCAAAGAGATATTTATTTTTTGGTGAATATTTTTGTCCGACATACTTTTCCTGTGGCGAAAAGTAGCATCAAAACAAGGACAGTTTTAACAATGACCGATATGACACAATCTACTGAGCTTCAAGCTTTTAAAAGACAAAGGGATGCTTATAAAGTTACCGTAAAAATTTCCTTGTGTATTTGTATTGTTCTATCTTGAGACGAACTCAAAGTCCTCCAAAATTTACTTGTTAGTGACTATGAAATATACATGGTGTGCCTACTTGTCGCTACCGTTAACTGGCACAAATCGCTACAATTTGCAAAAAAATCTAACGTAGCACTCTTATCTTGTTTAATAATACCATGAAATTGCGATAGGTCATGTGGGAGCCATGGGAAGTCCAGGGGACCCAGGAGCAGCTGGGGAACCCGGAGCTCCCGGTCTCCCTGGAGCACCAGCCACAGTAACATCTTACGAAGCCCCAGGTGGTACACCAGGTCAGGCAGGTAAGAACTTTAGCCTCTTGAAATAGAATTCAGTACTTAATCATGATAATGTCGACGATAACGACAGTGACTGAGGAAAAGTCGACAACAATACAATGAAAAGGACACTATCGATGACGATAGTGATGAATCGAAAACTATTCCTGTCTTTTGTAATAGAAGACGCATCATAAGCGCAGGTCGTGAAACAAACTCTTTTTTACGTTTATTTGTGTTGCCTCAGAGCAAAAGTTTTTTCCAGAAACCATGTAATATTCACCTTGGTCACAAGCCTACCCATTTAAAAAATCTCTTTTCAAATGTGTTCCAGGTTTTTATTATGGACGCCGACACTTAAAGAACAGCTAAGTAATTCGGCAGCACATTCTTACTTAAAAAACAAGGTTCATAAACAGCCTGTGGGCGCCCCTGATATTGCTGAAAATTTTCAGGATGCCCTTTTGATGAATTTCAAATTCTTCAAGCAGTTCGCCAATTAGTAAATAGCGGACGAGTTGCTGGACGAGATTCAAAATGGAGGCGTCGATAGTCGATATGTAGCTCTTCGCAACCTCAAAATGCAGTTGTAGCCATAATTTCATGCACATTTTGTTATATGGAGATGAAAAAGATGTTGTGTCGTTACGCGCACTGCCCCCTTAAACCACTCTTTTCAAATATTTTAAACTTTGGGGCGATGGAAATGAGACGAGTTGTTTGTTCGTGAAAGATGAAAGTCTACAAGGTCAAAGGTCAAACTGACAACGACCGTAGCTCATACCTGAACTTTCCCTCCGAACTAGGTGTTCAAGGACCACAAGGCCCACAAGGAGCAAGCGGAGCCATGGGGGCTATGGGAAGTCCGGGAGATCCAGGGGAAGCAGGGGCAGCCGGACTTCCGGGTCCTCCGGGTCCACCGGGTCTACCTGGGTTACCAGCGGGAACTTCCACAAATGACAATGCCTCAACGGGTGTGCCAGGTCCTGCAGGTCAGAGGTTGAATAAAATCTTAAGTGACTTGAAGGAGAGTAACCACTACGTTCTGAAATATTTTCTCTAGTTCCAGTTATTCTAGAATTTTTAAAATACTAATTTATTTTCCCTAATTTATGTTATTACCTTTAGGATCTCAAGGACCTCAAGGTCCTCAAGGGGCAATCGGGGCCATGGGAACAAGGGGAAAACAGGGAGATCCCGGTGCTGCCGGACAAGCAGGACCTCCGGGTCCACCAGGGCCTCCAGGTCCCCCCGCTGGGGCACAACCATCAACACCTGCAGCCTATGGTGCACCAACAGGTACATCCGGTCAACCTGGTAAGGAAGTTTGAATTACATAAGAATGATTTCAAGAGATTTCCTGATTGGCCATACAAGTTTTATATTGGTTTTCTTTTTCTTTTTTAACCCATGGTTAAACGGGTTTATGATATTAATTACGATCTATCATTAACAATTAAAACTTTTTATAGGACTTCAGGGGCCCCAAGGTCCTCAAGGGACTATGGGGGCCATGGGAGCTAGGGGAAAACAGGGAGATCCCGGTGCTGCCGGACAAGCAGGACCTCCGGGTCCACCAGGACCACCAGGTCCCCCCGCTGGGGCACAAGCGTCGACTACAGCAGCTTATAGTACACCAGCTGGTACACCAGGCCAACCTGGTAAGAACGTTTGAACTACATAGAAATCATTTCAAGCGATATCCTGATTGCCTAATATATGTGTCATGTTGGTTTTTTCTTTTTCAACTCATGTTAAAATAGGTTTATGATATCAATTGCGGTATATTATTAACAATAAAAACTTCCATTAGGAATTCAGGGGCCCCAAGGTCCTCAAGGGGCAATGGGGGCCATGGGAGCTAGGGGAAAACAGGGAGATCCCGGTGCTGCCGGACAAGCAGGACCTCCGGGTCCACCAGGGCCAGCAGGTCCCCCCGCTGGGGCACAAGCGTCGACGCCTGCAGCTTATGGTGCACCAACAGGTACACCAGGCCAACCTGGTAAGAAAGGTTATCTTCTATCAAAATTGGTTGAAAGACTTGCGAATTGTGTGTTTGGTGTTCCTAATTAAAAGTTCAATTTGAAAATGATTTACCGCGTCATTTAACCTAATAGTGACACTCAAAAACTAATAATCAGCATGATTGTGAGAGAAGCACTTTAATTATTTCATACGTAAAAAGTGACATCAAAAATGATTAAAAAACAAAAACAAGGAATAGCAGACTGTCCCAATAGTATATTGCTTTAAGTCATGTTCAAATAAGTATCTTGTAATCCGTCGTGGAAAATGTCACAGGCCATCCCCATTTCTATCCCTGGAAATTGAGCGCAACTTCTAATCTGCTATCTGAGAATCACTAAGTCGTTGAAAGATTTTGCTGAAAAAACGGCTCTGGATTTATGGATTTTTAATGTTTCTCACGGCATCATTTTAACATAATCAACTATACTTCTGACAGGTCTACAGGGACCATCAGGGCCCCAGGGAGCGATGGGAGCCATGGGAGACCCTGGAGCCGCCGGACAATCAGGACCTCCAGGCCCACCAGGCCCTCCTGAGGTACCAGCGGCTACACCTGCAGTTTATAGTGCCCCTGCTGGTGCACAAGGACCGACAGGTTAGACTCGAAACACGACTTCTGGAAATTCATGGAGCACACTGATACGGATCAAACCAAAAGACAGAATTCCGGATAATGAGATTTTTGATCGAGAGTTGAACGAAAAGAACCCATGGTAAACGGCTTCAAACATGCCGAAACTGGTTTAAGAGTTTGAGTTATCTTTGAGTTATCTTAAGACCAATCTGAAAGAATGACAATCAGAACTGTAGAAATTTCATTTTCACTTACTTTCGACATTCAGTAAACCCACCCAAGTTCTAAATTTCTAATTGACTTTAGTGATCTATAGAAGATTTGATTTTTTTTATATCTGGCAGAATAAATACGTGTAAAAGTGTAGTTTCTCTTGAGACGTTTTGACTGCAAAGTTAGTCAACTTAAGCATTTTTCCTTTACAAATATGATGACCAATAGCCAACTCATGATTAACTCGCTCCGCAAGGAAGCGATTTTGCTTCCACGAGAAGTCCCTTTTTTCGCAACATACGTTTCTGAAAAGTATGTTGGTCATTAGGATGTTTAAAAAGGTCATACTTACTTAGTATGGTGAACTAGCGCACAACTAAGAATGAATAAATTATTTTCAAATAAACAAAAGTTGATGATCATTTTCAAAATGCTTTGTTTTCCAGGACTCCAAGGACCTAAGGGCTCCCAAGGTACCATGGGAACTCCCGGGACGATGGGACAGCCAGGGGACCCAGGAGCCGCTGGACCTCCAGGACCCCCAGGGCCACCCGGGCCTCCAGGAGTACCGGCGGCGGATGTTGCACCCGTTTGCCCGGCGATTTGTGATAAATTATGTGTTGGTATTTGTCCTACAAATAATTGTTGCAAAAAGTCAAAAATCCCAATCAAGAAGGTGCAGATTTTAAACAAAGGAAGCATCATACCCGTAAAAGCTGCAAGCGCTACTCAAGGAAAGGAAGGCGTGCAAGGGGAGAAGACTCAGAGAGGAAGACTGATTCAAGGAAAAAAACCCTAGTCAGAATATCAAAAGAAGCAAAATAAGGCACAAAAATAGTATCTAGAATCAATATAGTTATGCGAAAATTCTCATAATATTGAACAATCTTGAAATTTTCTCAAATGTATTGTACATTAAATACTTTATTACATACCCCTACTATTTAATTGAAAACTACTTCAATAAATATGTAGAAACATACAATCATCTTATCTCCTTCATGTTTAAAACCATGCTTCTCCGACAAGTTAAGTCAGCGTTACTGGCGGTTTTGAGTGTTCTTAAAAACGACGCCGGAGCGCCTAAACCGCTAGGGGAACCGTCTCCCGCTTCGATCTTCTCGCGACTTCACTCCTTATCAGTTTAAGTGCACGTATACAAACGCTGGTACGAAAGCTCTGGCAAGGCCTTTTTTTATTGATAGAGGCGAGATATTGGCTTGCTTTTCGAAAATGTGGTTTCCTATATTTGGGTAGGATAAATGAGGGTTTGCTTCCTTTTTTACAGTCACATGACCGGCCGAGAGAGGACTCAAATTGTACGATTATGTAAACTCGTTCCTCAAAGCAATAACGCATCGGCTAACTTTTCTTATCGTGGCTTGAAGTATTGTGCAATTTATTGTAAAGACCTCTCAACTCGTTACCAAACTTTCACTACCTTGTCAATGAACACATACAAGACTAATAAGTTTTTAGCTCTGAAGCCCAATGATAACACATGAATCTTTGTCACGTTAGTCCTTGGAGACCAAATCGTCATTATAGGTCGATTCCCGCTTTTTCTAATTTGGTAGGCAACGTATTTTTAACTTGAGAGATCAATTAATGGGTGGTTTATGCCTACCATCATAATAGCATCATTTAGTACTGAACAATCATTCGTCATTCAATCAATCATTCGTTCATTTGAAAAAGATAATCATTTTTTATATTTGAAATTCCAAGGGTGCAATTGTTACCTCTAGACAACATATTTATTTCAATATTTTCTTATAAATTATTTTTTTATAAAAAATGATGGGCGTCGTTTCGTAGCTGAAAGCTTACTTCTGTGTTTTTTGAATAAACAACGGCCATCAGTATTATCATTTGTTGTACTTATAAGGGCTAGGTTATAATTACAGTCATTAAGTACACCTAAGCACATTGTCCTATTAACAGCTAGGTACTTATATTGATACAGCCTTCCCATTCTTGTCTCGTCAAACAGAATATTGTCATCAGAAACACTGTCGCAGCGCCCTTCCTGCGAACGCAATGTAAACAAATAAACATATCGACATATAACCATATTCCTATGCATTACGGGGCAAATCACTATTGTTAGTGTAATTTGACACAGGAAAACTCAATTGAGCCGGGAAGTTCATTTGAAGCTAGTAATGTAAAGATTACAGATAACACTCACTCCATACAAATAAACAACGTCTTATGTGTCTGACGCTTTTCCTAGAATATTTATACTTAAAACATGGTCACAAAATATCATTTACACAAGCGACTGAAAATCTAGTTAATAACCTCGTATGGATGGACACTGTCTCAAATGACTGACGCTTTCTTAAAAGTATTAAGTCTGCAAGCATGGTCACAAAATTCTGTTCGAATAAACACTGACGTCATTTCGTCAGTGTCTCTAAGGGTGATGTGCAATCAGCTAGAAACACCCTATATTGTAATCATGAAGCACTAGAGTTAATATTCGGACTTTCTAAATTCAGTAAATAAATATCAGTGATTAAAATTATTTGACAAAAGAATTTTTTTCATTATATGCTTATCAGTTTTTTAGTGAATTCATTTTAAATTACGATCCTCTCAAAGCTATACTCACCTCAAAAGTGACCATGGAGTTTTTCACCACTTTTAATGTATATGTAATGTTTTGGTTATGAATGAACTGGATACAGATTTTCCCTCCTTTTTGAAACAACTCAAATCCTACCGCGAAATGAAAAACACACTTGTCAGCGAAAAAAATATGAAATAACAGCATTCAATACTCTAAGATTTTCAAAGAAAGTGCATTTCGAGACATTTGCATTTAGTCTTAGTAATCAAGTTTGTTGTGAAACTAGAATTAAGCCCCAAAATTGCTTTGTCATAAGTGGCGCGACTTGCAAATTGAAATGCGAATTGCTCTATTTGAAAACTTTCAATATTTGAATTATCTACTCAAAAATATGGCAGCTAAGCAAGCCTTCAGGAAAATTTTGGTTTATAGAAAAAAATATAGAACTTGAGGCTATAACGAGTGGTAACTTTGAAGTCATACCCTTTCACTGCTTTGGTAATGATGAGCTGATTTCCAATTTTAGAATAAGGAAAAACTTAAGGACCGTTTCCCAAATAGAATTTGCACAGCCCGCATCAAGACCTCGCATACATATATTTCATCAGCCGTTTTAGTGTGTAGTATCGAGTTGACGCGTTGTGCCATGTTTTGACGAGCCCGTAGGGCGAGTCAAAATACATACGAATATAAACAAACGAGTACAAATACTCAGCGATACTACACACAAAAACGTCTAATAAGATATTATTATCCAACTGCTTTTTTCCTGCTAAGTTTTTCTGCTCATTTCTCTTAAGGTAGGAAAAGCAAAGTGGATAGAGAAGCGTAGCGCGAGCAGCCGACTGGTTAAACAGCCTTTTTTACAATAAAAAATAACCAACTGACAAAATAACCGTACAATATCGAAGGATATTCTCTACTTTGTGCAGTTGAATAATAACGACTAATACCATGGTTTTTTTCTATATCAAACATGCGCATCAAATAAATATTTTTTCATTTAACTGTTTATTCAAGCTTAAGACGTAAACAGAAACCTGAAAATAAAAGAAACAGATCAGAGGACTCCGTCTACTTTGAGTGACCAATCAGATTGCAGGATCTTTTATTTCGACCCAATCACATTCATTTTAAGCCCAGGAAGAGTAATATTGCGCTACCAAGTTTCTTAAAATGCAATATTGACATAGAAAATATCATATCTTAAAGCAGATAAACAGGAAACTTCTTGAGGAGTTATTTGGAAGTCTTTTTTAATCGAAAGCTTGGGCAAAAGCTGCTTTGAAAGTCACAATTTGATGTTAACCCCTCAAAAGGCGATTCCCCTGATACCAATAATGTGCCTTCGTCCAGACGTATTTATTTAACAGATGTTTTGCATGTGATACCATCACGATCATGATTTTCGTTTCCTCGAGGGGATAATTTTTCATTTGGTGGAATTAAGCCCTACGTGACGATGACAACGTCTGTTTAGAGAAATAGTATTGGCCCATTTCTTTAAAAAAGACGTTGTCATCGTCACGCAGGTTTCTAAGCTTCGTTAATCGCCAGGTATCCATCACAAGCTCTATCTATAAGCTTTGGTGTTTTGACTGCGCTAGATGTTTCTTCGTAACACAGCCCCAAACGTCTGTGATGATGCATTTATTTTGGAAGACGTACCTTTTTTCCCCTCGCCAATTGTTTTTGGTTTTCGAATGATCAGGGGGAGAAAGCAGGACTGGGCAAGGCGAATTTGTTCAAAATCATTTCCATGAATTCCAGTGTTGCTACACTGGAGCCATGTAAATTTATACTGATAACAGCAAATTTAAGGCTCATATTTAAGACAAATGGTCGTAAAGGTAGAATCAGGGATCAGTTGGTACAGTGTAACCAAAGGGAAAAGCGTAAATCATTATCTTGGTTCAGTTAAAATTTTTGCCCGTGAACAACGACGAAAGAAAACTCAAACAAATTCGTTTGGTTATTTACTTACTCGTTGAGGGGTCTTTGGTACTTGAACCATTGCACCTTGCCTCGCATCGCTTCTTCTTTTCAAAGACTGTGCATTGTTGCACTGCAATTTTCACAAGGTTACCTCCTTTACAAGGCTTATGGAGTCTAAAATGAGATTGAAGCCTCCAAAGGATCTGATTTTGTAGGCTTGTCCTCGATTCGATTTTCATCATAAGAACCACGAAGCACATGAAAATAGCCTATTGATAAAATGGTATCAACATAAACCATTGAATTGATTCTAATCAAAAGATAAGCCTAAAAAATTTACAGACAGACTTAAGTAAACCAAAATGAGATTTAGGGAAGCAACAATCTCTCTTATGAACCCACATACGTGAGCGTACAAAATTGTTCTCAACTCCATCTTGTAAGATCTCCTTCCACGTAGAGGTGAGACTAGACACTTTTGTAACGACTGCAGTGTTCTTAAATAAACGCAAGATTGCACATCATAAAATTCCTATAAAAAGGACTAACCGCAATTCTATGTAAGTGGTTAACTTATTCAGCGTGCGAGTCAAGATCCCGGAAAAGGAATCGCCCTCAAGCAAGTTGATTACCTTGAAATGACCGGAATGCCACAATTTGGAAAAGGCTTAAAGCCGATGATATTGCCTCTTTGTGGTTAGAGATGAGTTAAAAAAACAAATTGGCTAGGTCAGACGTCTCTGTCGTTGGAATATTTACAACATGCATGTATGAATCCTTCAACCGTATTCCTTTTAAGCTTTATTTTTTTAACAGAATGCATGGTTCCATGCATGGCAGTGTTTCTGAGCCCTATTAATAGTAGAAGGAATAAAAGTTACCCTCACATATCTTCCGCCTAAGACATGGAGAAACCACCTTCATTTCTGTGTTTGAATTTGTGTAGAGAAGTTCTGATAGAAGTAACAAGACTTGTCAAAGCTGAGAAACTCGACAGGGAGGAATTGGTGTTTGAATTGGTGCGTAAATCAAAGCCAGCATGCAGTGCTTTAAATAGGATCTTTGCACATTTCCACGTGAGTGAGGAACTGCAACGAGCAAGGATTTACTAGTGACCTCAACGAGGGCAAGCCTAGATACTAGAAAACATGGCCTTGATTTCGTTTTAGGGTATGAGACCTGGAGAGTTCGACCCCGTCCTCCTCCTCGTTTATTTATTATATCAATAAGGTGTATTTATTTATTTGATAAAAATGCGTATCAAAAATTTACAAGATGAAATTTACTTAAATATATTAAAATAAGCGCTTACAATATAAAAAACTACTAGCGTGCTAATTCATATCTATAAATGAATATATTAAAAAACTTTTTCAAAAATTTTCTTTTTCTATGTATATTTTCGTTCGAGTTCTTTTCTTTCCTTCTCCTTGAGCGTTGTGAATGAAGAAAATGTTGGATAGGCCATGTTTATCCTTGTTAACTGTAATCAATAAATTAAATAATTCTCTTCACTGAAATATTTTTCAATACTTGACCGAATGCCATCGATTACAAACCTTTCCCTTAGATGCTAGTAATATTTGTAACTAGGAAAGTAGATGAGTAAATATTTTGTAGCCAACATACACGCTACATAAAAAAATTACCTAAAAAGGAATGCAGACATGCTTTTGATAACCATTAAAGCTTTGATCCTGTTCCGCAAGTAACAATCTAACACCGTAATTAAGGGGTCCTAAAAATGCTATATAAAATATGTCTGTGACATGCCACACGAAAATAAAGAGATAAGTCATGTACCCATTTGAGGGTATAATTTCAATAATATTAATGGTAAAATGACCCAAAACCTGACTAAAAAGAAGTAAAAAGTAAAGAACTGTTTCTCTTTAAGACAACGACACCACTTTTTATGAAGAAAGTCGATTTTTTTCAAATTATCCCCAAATTACCAATGGTGCATGTTCTTTTGCCAAAAACTTATATTCGCTTTCTATGTTTCCTAAACAGACAACGCCTATCATTTCCATCGGCTCTTATAAGGGATAAGGTTACACCGCAGTCTCCAGGTACGCCTAAGCACAAAGTAGTATTTCCGACCGTGTGTAGATATTGATATAGTCTTCCAACTCTTTTCTCGGCAAACAGGAAATTGCTTTCAGTGGTACATCGCTGTTTCTGTAAATGTGATGTAAAGCGATGTATTTATCGCCATTTGGTTACAACTCAAGTAAATGATGCGTACCTCGCGCGCCAGTTGGCAGCTCAAAGTCGAGCAGCAATGAATTACTCGCATCCGAGAAACGAAGAGAAACATTTTGGTTTCCCGTTTCGTACGGTACCCAAGGTTGTAAATGATAATGATAATAAAAGTAATAATAACAATAAAAACAATTTTAATTATTTGTTGGCATAGTTTGATTCTTTAAATATTTCACTTGCTAGTGCGCATGTCTAATTAATTATTTTAAACTATCGCAACGGTACTATGATTGCAAAATTCTTATTTGTGTTAAATTGATAACGCAATATTAACGTAACGTGTAGAACAGATTAACTCAGTAAACTGATGATGGCATGAGTCATGCCGAATCATGACTTTAAATAGTATTTTCTTGAGGTTAAAATTTATTTCAATAATAATAACAATAGTAAAAATAAGAGTAGTGATAATACCAATACTAATAATCATAATAACAAAGATGATGATGATGAAATCATCATCCAAATATCAAAGCCTTGAAACCAGGAAGGAAGAGGTAAATTTGCTGATCGTGTTTTATGCCTATTTTGTTCTCTTACCCCCAATTGACAAACATTTATCTTTTAATTTGGGCGTGGATGCTCGTAAATGGCCTATTGCGTGATTTCTCAAGTGTCTGGTAGAGTGTGTTTCATTCAACTTTAAACAATTAATATGTAGACTAGCGAGTCCTTTTGAAAATAATAGCCTATCGATGAGTTAAATCAGCTACTTACATAGCTAATGTCATATAAACAACAATGTTGGACGTCTGTGAGAGTTACAAGCATTAATCATCTTTGGACTCACCTCAAAAGTGACACTCGTACTATTGACAGTTTTTAATGAAAATTTCCTGCCAAGGTCGTCGGAAAATTGAATGCACTTTTTTCTTCTTAATTGAACCAGTTGGAAACCTTCAAAATTGCAAGAGTACAATGGTTAGATAGAAACTTGTCTGGAAGTAATACGGTGTCAAACATGCCGGTATGTACTTGGTTTGTTTTGTAGTACTAAAGATTTTTTGATTGATAGAATACATTTTAAATGTATTGTATGCGTCACATCCATTTACGAAATATACGTGGGCGAGCCATGTCTCTCGTGACATCGTGGGTGTTTCCTTGCCTTCTTTCCTTTGGAGTGGTTTTTCAAATGTAACGATACAATTTAATGTGCGAACGTATGTCCACAAGGCGCCATGAGCTATCATTCACAAGAACATGCCGGAAACAATTGTAGTTAGTCATTCGCCTCGTTTTCAATTTTTGATTAAGTGTTTTATCGGGAAAACTCTTGGAAAACTATCACCAGTCAATATTGTAAACTTTTTAATTAAGCTTGTTGAAAGATGCTCTTATTAAAGACTCCTTGTTTTAAGTTAAGTTGAGACTGAAAAACCTTCGTGAAATAATGAACACTTAAGATATTGTAAACTTATCTATGACTTTTGTTTGTACGAAACTTAAATTTAATCTGGCAAAATGCTTCTATCTAGTACTTTAATATATAACTTGTACAGATACAGTTACATCTACAGTTACATGTATATCTGAAGTTGTACTGATCAATACTATCGAAAATAGCTTCATTTTAAAATACGGACCAGATTTAACCAATTAGAAGATAATAATCATCTTTAAATGAATTAAGCTAAGTTACAGTTACTTACTCGTTGTGGGATGTTTGGTATACCAGCCATTACATTTTGCCTCGCACTTCTGCTTCCCGTTAGAAACCGTGCATTGGTTTGTATCAATTTTCATAAGGTTGCCTCCTTTACATGGCCTGTTCAATCTAAAATAAGAACGAAGCCACCAATGGGTTGGTCTCTGTTGATTTCTCCAGGACATAGCACCCCTCACGAGAAAGAAGACAAGAATGACCTGTAAAGGAAGGGAAAAAATGGAAATAAAAGAATGCAAAATAAACATCCCCCCAATTTTTGTTTGGAAATAATAAGAAAAACTTCAAGGGCAGATCATGCAAGATAACCAAACGAACATGTGGAAAAATGACCTCACGTACACTAACACGCAAAGTTCTTCTCAGGTCCATCTGTTGCAATACCTATGCAGAATTACCTACCTAACTGGTTAATGTAACCAAGCACGTACAGATCAATTCTTTTAAATCTGCAGAATTGCGATGACGATATCTCTATAAAAAGCAATATCGTTGTGTGGTGAGCAGATTCAGGAAAATTCACTACCCTCAAGCACTTTTGCCAAGTCATGACGTTTGCCTTTCGTAGTTCCTAAACATTCACAAGACATGACAAATTTTTATATTTTTATATTTTAATTCACAAAAATGAATTCAACTTTCCTTACCAACTTGCCTCATGGCACATCTTATTGCCAAATCTATCTTTGCAGAATTGATATCATTTCGAGGAGATGATATTTCCCAATTGCTTTTGATCACTCTCGCTCTATTGTTAGAAAAGGAGTTTCAGAGAAAATGTGAGCGACCTCTGTACACTTAAAAAAATGCTACCCCTTGTAATATAAATAATTGTCGCACTTCGTAACTCAGCGACAACATCTGTCGCACTTTTTAGGAAAATTTGTATAGTTGGTCAGAGAGCAAACAGACCCAATAACAACCGTCATCCTCATTAACTATAGTAATAATATTATTATTATTGAGAATACAACTTTTTACTCTTCAGAGATTATGCGTTATTCACTGGCAATCAATTTGTTTGAATGCCTAACTGAGCTGCGCAAAATTAAGTCAATTTGATTCTTTCCGTGAATTTACTCATGGGAAGGATAGACACCTTTCATAGTAAAAACGGAGTTCACATTTATTTACCGGAGTTACGGTAACTAGTTTGTTTAATAGGAAAGTATAAAAGTGGTCAAAGTGCCTTAATGCTTCCACGGATAATATCAAATATTAGCACTGTTTGCTTCTGGC